TTGCTTAACTTTTACTTGGGGATATAACAGGCTTCAACTATATCACGTGCAAAGCATGAGCTATCCCCAAGGCCTCTGGTTTGAGGACATCTGTCTGAGGACTAAAGGTTTTTCCCTGTCTTTTAGATTGAAACTCCCATGATGAACATCATCCCAGGGGGAGCTGTGGCCAAGCCTTTTATCACCTACCACAATGAGCTAGACATGAATTTATATATGAGAATTGCTCCGGAACTCTATCATAAGGTAATCAGTAAGAAAATGCCTTGTTCCTTTAGAGAATCAGAAGGTTGGAAAACCATTGTCTAGACAGGTGCAGAGAAGAGGAACAGTGAGGGTAGAACAGCCAGGACAGTATTGTAATTTGTCCACCTTGTGAGTGTTACACTTCTAGAATTTCTCTACAAGATCAGTAGAGCATCGCAGGTCAGAGGGCAAAGGAATTGGCTTTCCTAGGTGTACAGATCCTCCTAACCTACTTTGTTTCCCATAATACTTTTAAGTTTATAGTCTGGATTAGATCTGATTTTAGTCTTTTGTAGAAGAAAGAGCGTAATCTCTGTCTGGAAGTTGGAAATAAATATCTACAAATCACCAGAATAAATATCGAAGACTGTCATTCAAGATTCTTAGTTGCAGGCAACAGAACCTGTTATAACCAGTTTAAGCAAAAGAAGAATGTATTCAAATATATAAGGAAGCTGACAGTTTCCAGGAGGATCAGAGAAGCAGGCTTGGAGACCATATAACCGGGAATGATTCTGAGTTATATCACTGGGCTGTTCCCATGGAGAACCCAGTATCTTTCACTAGGGACAGTTACCACAGCTCATAACCCTGGAACTAGGCACAAGTCATTGCCATTAGGACCTCTGCAGTTACGACGTCTAAAAGCTAGATATCTCTGGCCCCCTTCACTAGAGGAATTCTGTGCAATACTTGCATCTTCTTTCAGCACCTTCCATGTTGAAGTCTCAAAGGTGTGTCTGATTGGTGGGAGTTGGGTCACATGCTTGTATCGTAACCCCAAGAGAGCCTTCTTTCCTGGGGAGGCTCACACTCACAAGATGGGGGACACCCCAGACAAAGGAAGAGTAGCCAAAGGTCCTGGGCAGCCACAATGAATGATAAGTATCCACTACAAAAGCCTAAAGAGAGGACAGTACTCACCATTTGGGTAGAGACCTGAAAGCATGACTGAGCTGTGAGAACCAAGTTACAGCTTTTATAGACAAACTTTCCAGAGCCGTTAAGGCAAGATTAGCTGCCATGACCGTGGCCACGTGTTGTTATCAGATGCTGGTGGTTGGTGGCATTGACCGGGTTTATGAAATTGGACGCCAGTTCCGGAATGAAGGAATTGATTTGACTCACAATCCTGAGTTCACCACCTGTGAGTTCTACATGGCCTATGCAGACTATCACGATCTCATGGAAATCACGGAGAAGATGGTTTCAGGTGACCCCTCCTGCTCCCTTTGTCCTTCACATATGTCTGAAGGGCTGGTGTGCTGCTTTTGGGAGGACTTCCTGTTGGTCCTCTTTAAATGACAGATTTCTTTCCCAGGAATGGTGAAGCACATTACAGGCAGTTACAAGGTCACCTACCATCCAGATGGCCCAGAGGGCCAAGCCCATGAGATTGACTTCACCCCACCCTTCCGGAGAATCAGCATGGTAGAAGAGCTTGAGAAAGCCCTGGGGGTGAAGCTGCCAGAAACTAACCTCTTCGAAACTGAAGGTAAAGTGATGCCCCTCTCCATTGTATCGCCGTCCTTCCCGTTCAGCTCTGAATTAGATTAGGTCAGGGCTAGAATTCCCCATACTGTTCTCTTTATATACTTTTTTAGGGGTTAGTGTGATATCTTCTGTCCTACCTCGTACATTTGTATTACAGAAACTCGCAAAATCCTTGATGATATCTGTGTGGCAAAAGCTGTTGAATGCCCTGCACCTCGGACCACAGCCAGGCTCCTTGATAAGGTGAAAAGCCAAGTGCTTCTAGTACATGCCCTCATCCAGTGGTCACCAGCCCCCTGCTCCCTATGAAGGTGAACTCCACTGGGGAGAAGTAACTTCCACAGCTTCGCAGGAAAGCCCTAAAGAGAGAAATAAGAGAATTCACAAGTTTTGAACTGCTGTACTAAGCTCTGTGCCAGCGTTACGTATGTTCTCTCAGTTAATCCTTACCAGCCATTGAGAATGTCAGGATAAATCCTTATAGCATTAGGTGTGGGTAGGAGCTGAGTCCTCTTCCACCACGACTGGGACAATCAAAATGCCATTCAAAAGGGATCTCTAGCTCTGCTTTGCTTCTCCTTAAGCTTGTCGGGGAGTTCCTGGAAGTGACATGCATCAATCCTACGTTCATCTGTGATCACCCGCAGATAATGAGCCCTTTGGCCAAATGGTAAGATAAAGCATGGTGTTTCAGTTACCTGTTGCTGCATAACAACCTCAGAACTTAGTGGCATAAAACAACAATTTATTAATTCTCAAGATTTTGTGGGTTCATTGGGTAGTCTTTCTGCTCTACATAGTGTTGGCTAGAGTAACTCCAGTGGCTTTTTTCAACTAAGAACTCTGCCACGGCACCTTGCTTCTCCTCCACATGACATCTCATCCTCCAGAGCCTCTTCATGTGGCCTCTCTCTGGCAGCATAGCCTGGGCTTCCTTACGTAGTGGCTAGGTTCCAAGAGGAAGCATTCCAAAAGAATAAACTGCAGTGTGCAAGCATATATCAAGCCTCTGCTGATGTCCCTTTGATTAAAGCAAGTCGTATGGGCAGCCCAGAGTCAATGTGACAGGGAGTGCAGAAGGGCATGAATAACAGGAGGTACGGTTCAGTGTAACAGTCTACCGCACAGGTTTGTGAAGATAATTAAAGCTTCCTTATCTCTCTATCCTCCTCACTATTATACCAAATGATTTGGTGCTGAGATTGCATGCAGGCTTCAGGTCACAATCAGTAACACTTTCAAGTCAACTAGAATTCAAGAACTCTTGTGTTTGTACCAGAAGTTATTAGTGAACCTGTATATTCAGCCTACCCTTTGGTCTCCTGTCCGCAGGCACCGCTCTAAAGAGGGCCTGACTGAGCGCTTTGAGCTGTTTGTCATGAAGAAGGAAATATGCAATGCCTACACCGAGCTGAATGACCCCATGCGGCAGCGGCAGCTTTTTGAAGAACAGGCCAAGGTAAGGAAGGAGTGTGTGAGCAAAGGCACGCTCACCAGTGTTCATCAATGTTCCCACTGACCAGAAGACATCAGCTTTAACCCTGGTCTGTGTTGTTGTCTACATCTCTTGGTGACTTCAACAGAAATGAAGGAAAAAGCCACAGGCTCCTCTTCCCTCCATAGTGAAGTCACACTTCAAGATGGAGAACTTGACTAGTTGGGCCTTAGAATTTTCTGCATAAGAGGAGCTTAGGCATGATTATCTGTGTTGGGAGTGTGACACTTGTCTTGAAAATATGTTCACCTAACAAGAACATAATTTTTCTTAGATGGTACATTTATTGAGGTGGCTTGGGGGTGAGAGGCACATAAAGATTAATGGAGACACAGACCCCCAGGCTGCCTGCACTAGCACTGCTATTGATGGGTAGTTTCAGGAAATGGGAGAAAGACTCTTGGGAATCATCCGAGTCTCAGAAAATCAGTCTCACTGGACTCGCAGAGCCCTGGGCAGGTGAGGTGTTTTCATTTCATAGAGAAATTTGCATGTCTTCTGAGGTGGAGTTCATCAGGCCTGACCTCCAGGTCTTTGAAAGAAATAGTAATCCCTCAGAACATTTTAATGTGCTCATTCAGACACTGAGAGACAGTGCAGCCTGGAACAATGTCGCTGTTTGGTTCTCTCTTTTAGGCCAAGGCCGCTGGTGATGATGAGGCCATGTTCATAGATGACAACTTCTGCACCGCTCTGGAGTATGGGCTGCCCCCCACCGCTGGCTGGGGCATGGGCATCGACCGCGTCACCATGTTTCTCACGGACTCCAACAACATCAAGGTACACAGCGACCTGCCACAGCGCACGCTGCCCTGGAGGAGCTCCATTCTGTTGGAGACAGGGCATGGTGGGCCTGGAGAATAAAGAAAGAGCTTTGGGCTGGAAGGAGAAGCAGGCAGAGGAGTTACTTGCAACTCCGGAGGAGGAAGATCAGAGCATCTTGACCTTGTGGCTTTAGGGATTTTTCTACCTGAGGCAGAAGGAATACTAATTGTTTGCATTTCTTAAGGACCTAAGAAACATGCTAGGCCCTCTCCATACATTATCTCGTTAAATTTTTTTTTTTTTTTTTTTTTTTTTTTTTTTTTTTTAGTGAGGGAGATCAGCCCTGAGCTAACATCCTTGCTAATCCTCCTCTTTTTTTGGCTGAGGAAGACCAGCTCTGAGCTAACATCTATTGCCAATCCTCCTCTTTTTTTCTTCCCCAAAGCCCCAGTAGATAGTTGTATGTCATAGTTGCACATCCTTCTAGTTGCTGTATGTGGGATGCGGCCTCAGCATGGCCGGAGAAGCAGTGCGTCAGTGCACGCCCGGGATCCGAACCCAGGCCGCCAGCAGCGGAGCGCGCGCACTTAACCGATAAGCCACCAGGCCGGCCCAATCTCTTTTAATTTAAGTCAGGCCTATGAGGTATAGACACTGTTGTTATCTCATTTTTATAGATGAGGAAATCATATTTGAAGACAACCTCTGTGTTTGTTTATTCTTTTGACATCGTTCCCTAAGCAGTGCTGTGCATTTGTCCTTTTCCATCCTCTCTCATTGAGAAGGACTGAGTTAAAATAAGAGAACACAGATGTCTGGATTTTGGTGGTAACAGTAACCACAGGCAAAAGGAATGGGTGGATAGCTGTGAAAAAATCGAGTGCTGCTTAGCCTCACAATGCGCTTTCTCTCCTGTAGGAAGTACTTCTGTTTCCTGCCATGAAACCTGAAGACAAGAAGGAGAAGGAGAATGTAGCAACCACTGATACATTGGAAAGCACAACAGCTGGCACTTCTGTCTAGAAAACAATCATTGCAAGTCATGTAACTCAGGCATCTGCATTTCTGCAAAAGATCAAGGACTGCAAGGGAATTCTTGTGTGTTGCTGTCCATGTGACTATCACAGTGTAGGTCAGCCACCAGAAGAGAGAAGGGGAATTAAGTATTCCTTTTTACTCCTTGTTACCAAATAAACCATTTGTCTCTATTCTTTGTCTCCTCATTCTTTTTACCTTTGGAATGTCAACCTTTTCTCAGACAGCTAGCTTAAAGAATGTTTAGGATTATACCACTTTATTCTTCCAACAAATTTATATTAACGTCTGCTCTGTGCCAGGCACTGTTCTAAGATATTAAAGACACAGCAGTGAACAAAAGCCAAGTTCCTGCTCTCATAGAACTTATATTCTTTCTTTAGGGGCGGGGATGGGGGGTAACTAGACAAATAAGAAACCAGTAAATACATAATATTTTTGATAATGGTACATACTAAGAAAAATAAAGCAGGGTGAGGGGACAGAGGTGCTATTTTAGAAAGCGGTAGATGGCGGGACAGTGCTATGAGGGAAGACCTCTTCTACGTGACATTGAAGTAGAGATCTGAGGGAAAAGGGTGATCCAGGCTAGAGGACTGCATTTTTGAGGAACAGCAAAGGGTCTAGTATGGCTGGAAAGGACTAAGTAAAGGTTGGTGAGGGGTCAGGTCATGCATGCCCCTGTAAGCCATGCAGAGGAGTGTGTATTTTATTATTAGGGTTTTGGGAAGCCATTGGAGAGTTTTTAAAAGATTGTTCTAGTTAGCATGTGGAGGGCAAGAGTGAAAGGGAGTTCAGTTACACTGTTGCAGTGGGCTGGGGAGAGATGACGGCTTAGACTTGGGTGGTTTAAGTGATGGAAATGGTGACAAGTCCTTGGACTTTGCCTGTGTTCCTGGGGTCACTCAACAGAATTCTGCTGATGGAATGTGGGTTGTGAGAAAAAGGAGTCAGATGATTTCAAGGTTTTGGGCCTGAACAACTGAAAAGTAGAGTTGTCATTTACCAAGATGGAAAAAACAGGAAGTGCAGGTTTGAGAGGGAAGGTCGAGTGTTTGGTTTTGAACATACTAAATTGGACATGCCTGTTAGCCATCAGGTGGGAATAGTAAGTGGGATGTTGAATGGTGAGTCTGGAGTTTTCTCATTATTTTCGGGTTAAGTCAACTGGGCTAAGAATGTAAGAAGGCTACGGCTGAGGGCCTGCTATTACAACGGAGCCCCTGATCCCTGACACAGGGAGGCAGTCCTTTGTCATACAACAAAGGACTTGTCTTTTGTACTTCAGCAAAACCTCTGCAAGCATCCCAGCTTTCTGCTTTCACAGAGCAGGTTTCTACTTCTGCGGCTGGTAAAACGATCCAAGCATGCAAAATTAGCTATCTGGGAACTACTTCAGGGAGGGTTGAGCATCTCCACCCCTTGCCAGTGTTTAAGCATAGGCTCCCGGAGCACTTGGCAGTAGTGGTAGATAACCAGGTGGTTTTTCAAAGGAAACACTTCCATTATGGCACATCCTTCAGCAAGGTGATGTTACTAAAATGAAAATAATTATCTCACCAAGGGAGAGGGAATAAGGTCAAGATAAGGGACTGAACTTCAGGCAACACTGTACTGTCAGTGTGGACCACTGGAAAAGGCAACAAGGATTAATGAGGTCACAAGTGACCTCTAAAGAGCTATTTAGTAGAAGGCTAGGGGCAGAAGCCAGCTGTCTGGCCTCAAGGAGGCTGGAGATAGAGATGAACTAAAGCAGCAGTAGACAACTTGTTTGTGGAGTTTAGCAGGAAAAATGACAGGATGAAAGCTAGAAGGAAAAGAAGAATTATAAAGTCCTCATTGCCTCAAACAGTTCAAGGCTCACAATTTGCTAACTGCTGTACTAGGGCAAACAGAAAGGCATGGTCCCAAGCTTCATCAAGCTTCTAGACTTGTAAGGAAAATAGATATTTAATAAATTAGCAAAAAACACTATAAAATGACAGCTCTGGTAAATACTTTGAAGGAGAGGTCCACAGGGCTATTGAGAAACTATAACAGACCTAGTTAAGGAAAGTTTCCCTGAGGACATTAGATCTGAGATCTGAAGGAAGATGGAGCACCAACTAGTCAAAGAAAGGGAGGAAGAGGGGCCGGCTCCGTGGCTTAGCGGTTAAGTGCGCGCGCTCTGATGCTGGCGGCCCGGGTTCGGATCCCGGGCGCGCCCCGAGGCACCACTTCTCCGTCCAGCGCGAGACCGAGTCCCACGTACAGCAACTAGAAGGATGTGAACCTATGACATACAACTATCTACCGGGGCTTTGGGGGGAAAAAAATGAATAAATAAAATCTTTAAAAAAAAAAAAAAAAGAAAGGGAGGAAGAGCTTCCCATAGTGTGGCAATAAGCACAAAGACCCTGAGGTAGGAAAGAGCACAGAGAAGGCTAGTGACACTAGAGTACAGAAACCCAAGGAAATATGACACCAGATGAGGCAGGAGGGGGCTGGTGACGCAGGGCTGTGAGCTTTATCATGGGGTTTTGTCTGTATTCTCAGGGCTCTACTATGGGATTTTGTCTGTATTTTAAGAGTGCTGGGAAGCCACCAAGTATTTAAGCAGGGGCATGACATCACATTTGTCTTTTGGAAACATAAGTCTGGCTACTCCGTGAAAAAGAATTTGAGTTGGGTAAGAAAAGGTGAAAGTCCAGAGGTTGGCATAGCAATCCAAGGAGATGATAGTGGCTTGGACTAGGGCCACGGAAGTGGAGGAGAAGTGGATGGATTCAAGAGAGAAGAAGATCAACAGGACTTGGTAATAGGTTATATTGTGGGGGTTAAGGGAAGGGAAATGACAAGGAGAGTGACTCATTTTTCAGTTTATGCAACTAGACCGATGGTGGTACCAATCCCTGAGATAACCCTGGAAGATGATTCCCCCACCCGGATCAGTGCTGCTTTAAAGACAGAACAGGGAGTCTGCTGCAGATTAAAGATGTTAAAGAGCAATGAGGAGCAGGGTTCTTAGGCTTGGAGGAGGCCTATGTCCCTTTTCCTCTGAACTAGAGAGAAGGATGGGGTCAAGTAAGTTGCACTTCTGTCTCCTCCAACTTTTGAGGAGTAACAAGAAGTGAATTCTCTCATCTTTAGGAATTGAGGTATACAATTGCTGGATAGTACAGGCTCCTGAACTATCCAGACTGCTATACTACCTATTCCCGGCAATCTGCAGGTTTTAGACCCACGCTGTCCGATACAGTAGCCACTAGCCGCATGTAGCTATTGAGCATTTTAAATGTGGCTACTGTGAGTTGAGATGTACTGTAAGTGTAAAATACACACCAGATTTCTTAAACTTAGTATGAAAAAAAAGAACGTAAAATAGCTCAATATTTTTTTAAAATATTGCTTACATGTTGAAATGATAATACTTTGTATATACTGGGTTAAATAAAATATATGATTAAAATTAATTTCACCTATTTTTTTTTTTTAAGATTTTATTTATTCAGTTTTTTCCCCCCAAAGCCCCAGTAGATAGTTGTATGTCATAGGTTCACATCTTTCTAGTTGCTGTACGTGGGACTCGGCCTCACGTTGGACGGAGAAGTGGTGCCTCGGGGCGCTCCCGGGATCCGAACCCGGGCCGCCAGCATCAGAGCGCGCGCAC